CTTGAAGTGTCCATTTCCCTGATTTTAGTATGGTTACAGATATTTGCCAATATTTCAAAAATAAATAAAGCTTACAAAAACCAAAATAAATAAATACACCACATAAATCATCCCAGTGTTCCTTAGCTACCACTCACTCCTCATTAGATCATCCACCTGAGCCCTATCTAAGCCTTGTTAATATATTTTTTTGCCTCTGTGCATTTTCCTTCCCTTCATTTTCTCTTACAAATGGAATCATATAATATGTGACCTTTTTTGTTTGGATTCATACACCGTATATTAAATTCAAAGTTGACCCACTCAGAGACACATATATCTGATATTCGGTGTTATTATATATGCAAGTACCTTCAGGTTTTTCTGTATATTCATAATAAGGGTAAAACAATAACACAGTTTTGAGAGTTTGTCTAGTTTGGGTTACCTTTTGGATACATTTTTCACAACTTTCATCATGTCTTACACCTAACATTAATGAAGGAAGGTGAACAAATGCAAAGGAAAGTATCAGTAACCAGTTCCACAGCATTGCTGTTCATCCTCAAACTTCTGCCATGTGTAGACCACTCAGCTCCTTGTATGTGACTAAGAAATAGCTATAGTCTTTTCTTTAGAGGGTAAGATGGTGGAGATGCTCTGGGTGTCCTTGGACTATAGACTCTCCATCACTGGTTGTTTCACACGTGAGTGATGTATCCAGGCCGGGATGCCATTTACATTACTGTTGTTGGTATGGACAGGATCACCAAGTAGGGGCCCTTTCACCATGGTTTCAGTGGGTTCAGGCTCCAATCATTAATCCACACTTGGTTACCTGGAGAGTGCGGATGGACTGTGGATGATAAACTTATAGGATATCTATTATTCACCCATTCTGAAATCTTTTTTTCATTATTTTTCTTGGTGACATTAGTTGGCAAGTTAATAAATTTAATTTCTTACAGTTCGTTCTCATTTTAAATTTCATAAAATGGAAGGATTCCTCTGATATGGTATTTTATAGGGTGAATAACCCGTTATTTTATTTTTCTTTTTAATTTTTTGAACAGGCTTATGTTGATTGCATTTGTTAGGTAAAGTCCCTCTTATAATTGCATTCTGCCCGCAAAAGGTATGTCACAATCCTGACCCCTTAACCCAGCAACTACCTTCCTTCTCTCTCTGTACTCTCATCTTCCCCCACCCCCACCATGTGTTAAGTCATTAATTGTCCTCATATTAGAATTGGATACATAGGATTCATGTTTCTCCATCTTGTCATGATTTACTAAGAATAATGGGTTTCACTTCCATCCAGGTTAATACAAAATGTGTAATGTCTCCATCCTTTTCTAATGGCTGAATAGTATTCCATGGTACACGTATACCACAGCTTACTAATCCATCCCTCACTTGGCGGACATTTAGGCTGTTTCCACATTTTGGCGATTGTAAATGGAGCTGCAATAAACAGTGTAGGGCAGGCGTTCTTATGTTAAAAGAATTTTTTTTTCTTCTGGGTAAATGCCCAGTAATGGGATTGTAGGATCAAATGGGAGGTCTAGTTTGAGTTCTTTGTGGGTTCTCTATATGTGCTTCCATAAAGGTTGTGTTAGTTTGCAGAGCCACCTGCAGATTAAAAGTGTTCCCTTCTCTCCACATCTATGCCAGAATCTGCAGTTTTGAAGTTTTGTGATGTGGGCCATTCTCACTTGGGTTAGATATCTCAGGCTGGTTTTAATTTGCATTTCTCTAATACTTAAGGATGATGAGCATTTTTTCCTGTGTTTGTTAACTCTTTGTATGTCTTCTTTAGAGAAGGTCTTTTCAGTCTAATAAAGACCTCTTTTTTATATTTTTTGTTGTAGGAATGGCCATGGAAGTCTTCTTCATAAAGTATTTCCCCAGGCCAATATCTTCAATTGTTTTTCCCATGCTTTCCTTGAGGATTTTTATCTTTTCATGCCTTAAATTTAGGTCTTCTGTCCATCTTGAATCAATTTTGGTGAGTGTTAAAAGGTACGTGTCCAGTTTTGGTCTTTTACATGTGGGTATCCAGTTCTCCCAGCACCATTTGTTGAATAAGGATTCTTTCCCCCAGTGTATGTTCTTGTTTGGTTTATCAAAGCTTAGTTGGCTGTAAGATGTTAGTTTCATCCTCTGGTTTTCTGTTTGGTTCCAGATGTCTATGTCTCTATTTTGTGCCAGTACCATGCTGTTTTGATCACTATGGCCTTATTGTACAGCCTAAAGTACAGGAATTCCTATATGGTGAATATTAGTTTTCTTTGAATTGTCCCAAAGCTCTCTGAGAGAATGATCCATTTTTTTTCTCTCCACTTCTATTCCTCTTTGAGCATTTGGGAACATTCAAAAGCTTTGTCTTTAATGTCGGAAATCCTTTCTTCTGCCTTCTTCATTCTGTTACTGAGGGATTCTACTGTATTTCTCAGATCTTTGAGGGCTGTAAGTACTTGTCTCAATATGTCAAAATCTTTAATTTTATCTTTTAATTCATTGAATTCTTTAGACAACTTTAGAAATATTCCTTGAATTTCTAATTCCAACTTTACCTCCACTCTATTAATCTTATTTGTAATCCAAATTCTGAATTTGATTTCTGACATCTCAGCCATTTGTTTATGAATGGGATCTTCTGGTGTATCTGCCTTGTCATTCCTTGAGGGAGTTGATCTGCACTGATTATTCATGTTGCTAGAGTTTTTCTGCTGATTCTGCCTCATGATTATTTTTCACCATTTGTCTAGATGATCAGATAAGGAAAAATTGGATTGGGGGCTCCTGGAGTAGAGATTAACCAGTCTTTTGTGCAAGAGCTGGGACTGGTGACTGCAGGTTTTCCCTTATAGCTTTGCAAATAACTCATACAGTACTATGGCCTCAGACACTGGATTCTGCTTGGTGTGGTGGGGGATAAGTGTCTCTGTCTTATTTTCAGTTGATCTCTGTCCAATCGTAGTGAATCAGTAACTCTGAGTTGAAGTCTCAGCTGTGGAGAAATATAAGCAACTAAGACACCCTACCCTCCATGGGCAACAACTTGAAAGGAAAATCAAAGCTTCTCATAAGCACACAACCAGGGTACCACCTTGGGTGGTTCTCGGGTGATTGGCCCCAATCAAGAATTCCAAATCAATTGTCTCAGTCAGCACCCAGTCTCAAATGGGGGAGTTCACAAGTCTCCAGCAACTAGATAGCAGGGGTGTGCTGGCAGCTCAAGTATGACTCACTCTGGCCCACCCAGCAAATGAATTAGTCTGGGAAGGTTGATGTCTCCTTCCCTACCTTACACATCTGTCACACCCAGTCATTGGTAACCACACAGGGCTGTGACCCAGTTTCCTCCAACGAGCAGATAAACCAAGGATCTGTGCCTATTTGAGTCACTGGGAGATCTATCTCTACTTGGCCAGGCCACTGCACTCTGCCACCAGCTGGCTGGGGGAGCTGAAGCCTGACTCCCTCACGTGCTTAATGGAGACTGGGGAATTTCACTCTGTTCCAGCTCCACCCCTGATTGATGTTGCTGCCACTTATATTCTAGCAGAATTTGTGTTTCTGTCCTGGCTATATTCCCCTGTGGGCCAGGCACTGTTTGAGTTCACAGAAACTCCAACTTAGCCCTGCCTTGTGCCACTGCCACTGCACCAATTCTCACAGAGCTAGCATCTCTGTCTCCACTGCACTATATTGGGGCAGGTGCAGTTAGAGCTCACAAATGGCTCTCAGTTTCTGCCCTTCCCTGGGCTGATGCTGCTGTCATGCCTGTTTTGTCCCAGCTATGCTCCCCTAGGAGCCTGTTTCATCTTGGGCTCACAAAAGC